GCTCTACTCGCTCGCTCGTAGTCGTCTCTTCAGCAGTCAGAGATATTGTGCTAAGAGTAGAAGCGCGTTTACATGAGCTCTATCCCTCGTTGGTTGCCATGTATGCGCTCGACTCACCATTTCGCGTACTTGCCACTGGCACGTATTGCGGGATCCAGCTTCACTAGAACATCGCCCTTGATCCAAGATTGGAACCCTTCCAGGCCGAGATAGCCCACCTGAAAGCTCGTCGCGTCTGCTCGAGGCGCAATGTCGAAGAATGTGTCTTCAAGATAAGGAGACGGGGGCGGCTGAGGGTGACTGGAGGAGCCAGCATCGTGGTCGATGAGTGAGGTGGTGCTGGAAGATTCTGCGCCGTTTACTTGGTCGTAGCGGACAGGCAGATGGGTGTAGACAGGTGGAGAAGGATCCGCATCGGCATCTGATGGCGGAGGTGGAGGCGTCGGAGGTGACAACATTGTGCTAGGCTGAGCGGCGAGGAATCATGGGGCTCATCGAAGCTGTGCCTGCCAAGCGAGGGTGGACGCGCGAACGGCTGTCGCTGGCTGGAAGCGAAAGAGAGCGCCTCAGCTTGGAGCTTGGCCTTGCTGGAGGCTTGTGAATGCTAAGTCGAGATGCTGAAGCGTCTATTATCGACAACGATGACTTGATGGTGCTGTCGGCTACTTGGAGAAGCACAACAGGCTTGGCCTGGATGACAAGGGAACAATGGCCGCTCAGCCAAGCACAGCCTTCGTCTGTGGTGGAGATACCATCAGCAGCTGATGTACTGTATAGGTTGCTGCAGCTGTACGCGGCGCAATCGTGCCAACATGCACCGCAGGGCTGCGTCCGCGCCTCCACAACACGACATGGTACACGTGATCTCTTCAGCTCACGCGGCGTGGCGCGCCACGGCGCGGCGCGACACGCACAAAAAATTGTGCGCGGGCGACCGCATCACATCAAGCGCGACCGGCCATGCAGCAGTCACGAGTGCAATGTGTGTCTTTGGATCACAAAATCGCGACGCCTC